TCCAAAGCCTCGAACTCCGCTCATAGGATAATGTTCGTTTTTTTGTGTTTTCACTTTTGATAAGAAGTGGTCTCCGTGATTGCAAGCTGAGGTGTTGTCGAATCCCTTCAAGACACAACCGCATCAGAACCCCCAACTAAACATCAGATTCGAATTGTTTTGCATTGAGTGCGTTTGGATAATTTGGAGACACAGTTTCTTGAACTGGCTGTTGTACGCAGAATCGATCGAACAGATCGAGAAGCTGACTCCATCAGATTCCATTCAGACAGTGGACTGGGGACAAACAGAGTGGGACTTTGCAAGGAAACTTGAAAAACCATACTCACATCATACACCAAGGGTTCAGCGCTTCAATTGAGCAGGTCAGGTTCGTTTTAACGATTTGTGCTTTGGAAGACCTTCGTTGACCGCGTCATGCCCCAACTCGACACCGTGCCAAGGCTCTTCTTGTCACACGCGTGCCTCACGCGTTCGTACCGTACCCTCAATACAAGCTGTCGCAGCTCAGGCTGTCGCTGGAATCAAACTGTTCTGGTGTTTTGAGGATTCCACCTGCTGATTCCAATGATTTTGTGTCACTCCTTGCAACACCTGTTCCCGCCGTTGCAACAAGCTGCCAAAACCAGTCATGAATGGCTGAAACTGTTGGCTGTCCACAGCTTGTGCACCGTATATACATCAAATGAACCAGCAAGAGGAATGCAAATCCCTTTGATTGCAACTTCACAAGCATGTGACTTCGTCTCAAAGTTCCACTCCAGCGTTTCTTCACCTGATGTCCAAACCTCCTCTTGTTTCTCAGGTTCAAGCGCGTTTTGCTTCTGTAGATTGCCAAAGCCACTGAACAGGTTGCCGCCATGAATGCATAAATGTACCAACAATGCTTAAACTGCGACCAGGTCAAAGCGGTTTCTATGCAATGTCTCCAACGGGTTCCCCAAAGCAATGCTTCTGTCCACTCAGCAATGAACAACGCTGCACTGATGAAATTGAATTGATCTCAACAACCAATGAAACATCCACGAGAACATCACCTGTATCATACCATGCGTCCATCAATGTACCAAAATCATCCGACATCCAAACCAAACCAAGGATGCATGCCTCACTCAGGGTTGGAGGCCAATCCAGTCCAGCATCCAACCCATGCCGCTGCTCGGGCCGACCGATCTAGATGCTCATCCTCCCGGGCACACTGACTACGGATCGTCAGAGCTCCACTACCATGTGAGGTAAGCGGTTTTTTTGGACCACGCGCGCTGCGGACGCGGGTTCACAAGTTAGAACCTGGACACGAGCAAACATGAACATCTATGTAATCCTGTATGTATGAATGACAAAACTTGACATTTTCGTTTTTTATTTTTGTTTTTCGCCCGCTTGATGGTCCTGGCCCTCCCGTTGTGTTTGTAAAATTTGAGTTTAATTGAGGTCAAGAGGGGCGTTGCACCATTTGCAGGAGCATTGTGCCCATGTGGACACGTTTAAAGCGGACATATTCAAAAAAAATATTTGGGACGTCACTGTGTCTCGCAGCCTTGAAGCTCAGGGCGCGGGGTGTGTGCGGGAATGGATGGGCCAAAGCTCGACCTGAGCTCGGTCCAGATGTCAGCGTTGCTCGGTGGCCGCACCGGCCATGTGGTGTGGCACCGTTGGCATCGTCGGAACATGGGAACATGCAAAAAGGATGGTCACCGGCTGTTCGCTCGACTGTCCACAATCCATGGTTAGTGACGGTGACGGTTAGTGCACTGAACCGGGGTTAAGCACGCTGCCCCCTTGGCGAGGGTCTCTGCAAACCAAGGAAGCCGGATGCACGCCTGATAGATGGCAACGTGTCGCCAGACTTGGTTGAAGTCGATGCAGTTGTTGGACGATTTGTGTGCTTTTGATGAGGGTGATTTGACGACAAATTTGAGGCCGCTAGCATGCTGACAAATGCTAGGGTCACACTAGTCACCATCCCTGTTTACGGAAGGTAGATTGGGGTTTTCGTTTGTGGATGGTTGATGGGAATGGGACTGTAGAGTTCTTCGGACCTTGCAAGTTGCACAAGCCAACCGTGAGCAAGAACTACTGTACATACTTCACCTATCTCAGGCCGCCACCCCCTGCAAAGCCAGATGCGGAGTTGATCGAGGCAGGGGCGGCTGTGAGGGGGCCGTGGATGGCGAAAATGACCAGCATCCTGTATTGAATCTGAGGGCTGGGCTGGATGTCAGTGATAGACTCAACCTCATCTTCATTGCCTTCCATCCCTAGCGGCCCTAGCGGCACCGCACTCCGGCAAGTGTCCACGTGGGTGTTGGTGGATGTCCTGCGCTGTGCCAGTTGCTGCAGCTTCTGGCTGAGGAAACGTGGTCCAAGCACGAGCGGCAAACCCAACCAGTGCGTGATTCGTCAACTCTTAATTTTTTTCAGTGCACTCACAGGCGGGTTGATGTTGCGACGTGTGCCTTTGATACCAAGAGGCGTTGGATGCCCCTGGTGTGCGTGACCGGGGCCAGAATGAAGAATATTTTTCGGTGGCAGGATGGCCAAATTCTGGATAGGTGATAGCATGCCCGTTCTGGGTGGTTTGGTTTCTCCATGTTCTTCGCATGCCGCACAGTGGCCCCTTTAAGTGCTCAACGTTGGTGGGCCAGGTCTGTGCTGACCGGGCACATGCATGGGACGTGCAATTGTTTTCAACCCATGCTCTCCAGCCAACTTTCACCGATTCTCTTGCCCGAACTGCTTTGTAGAGACGCTGAACTTGTCCTGTTCCTGCACTTTCTGTACTATTTTATCATTCCTTTTGTATCAGTGTGATTCAGGACACCCTGCCGATGCCAGAGTTCTTCAATTGGTGCTCCCTTGCGGCGACGCCCGACGATGTGGCGTGGCTGGTTTGGTGCTGGAAACGGAAATTGGAAATATGTGGATCACATAAGCTACCCAGGAAAAACAACGGACGTGGAAAGTCAGACGCTTGGACGACGACCTTCCACTACTAATGTATACTAGTCGAAATGGTTTGTTCGGTTTTTGCATCCTTGTTAAACTTCTTACGGAGGATCAGAAACCCAAGCAAGACCTGACATTTGTCGGAGCAGATTCACTGTTTGATTTATGTGGTAGCTTAGGGGCGATGGTTGCAATCTGTTTAGTGTGGACCTCACAAGTTTTGACCCCTTTGTCGTGGAGGTTTAAGTGGGGGGGTATGGTAGCCGCTGACAGTTCCATGGCTGAAATGTAGCGTAACAGGCAGATACTCAATCGACGAGAGTGTATCCATTGAGAAATTGCCCACTCACTTCTGATATTTCGGTGGCAACATGTGCGTTCAGCATCAGTTGGGTCTTGTGACTCATCTTTTGACCAACGAGGATGGCAAACGATCGCCACGACCCTCCTTTTTTGACACAAATTTCCTGCTACTTGGACAGGATCCTTGGCGACTAAGGAGTCCGTTTAACGAAGGATTTGTGTCCCCAAAACGAACATCAGGTCTTTTTTGCTGTGAACCTTGGCCCCTTGCCAGTAGACACTTGGCTAACATTTCTTGGCTAACATGTTGCCCGTATGCTTGTGGCTGGGTGGAGGACGTTCACTATATAGCTTTTGAAGGTTACAGTGCTCCCCTCCTGCCGTGGAGCTCCACGGCCTCGCTTCGAGACGCGCTGCGCTGCAGAAACCCGCCATTTCCGCCTGCCTCGGGTTTCACCCCGTTTCGCTGACGCTCAAATGATGTGAGTCTTGCAGGTCTTCAAGGGAGGTTTGCATCCCAGGGTTTCATTTGGCCTTAAGGATGTGAGGCTTCCGCCGAACCGCCTGCAGCATGAAGATGCTAGCCGGGAGTTGGCTCATTACATGGAGGAGATCAGCAGACGACCAGTATCTTTTTGCAAGCTGGTGGAGAAGAAGTGGCGCGCCATGGGCTGGAATCAGAACAATGGTACACAGCCGCCCTCACACTCCTTTGGACGCGTCCCTATGAGACTGCAGAAATGAAGGAGCTCCTGTCTGAATAGCTGACTCGCTGCCCAACTCCTGGGAGCCCCTGCCCGGAGGGCAGGGGGCTCTATTTGGCCGTATGGACCGATCCTGGTCAAAGTCAGGTAGAAGGCAGTGTTGCACAGCCTAAGTGCTTGCTTCCTTTTTTTGGTATCTTTTTTGTGAACTTCCCGAGGGTCAGATCGTGCGATCTGAGCACTTGTTGGTACCGGATTCAAGCCCAGCTTGGGAGCCCTCCCGAACATCCTGTGATTCAAGAGGGTTTGCTTCAGAAACAGCTTAGTAGGTGCACTTTGGTATGAATCATTCGCATGCTTTGAGATAATGTTCCGGTACACGTGCTTTAGTAGTGCTTTCTCAGCACTCTGCAGCACGGGCTGCTCAATGCTGAAGATTTGGACACAGCGACAGAAATGAAATGCCGGCTGCCACTGGATTGACAGGATCGTTGGGCCACTGGTGGTCTGGAAGCATTTGGAAAAGCATCTGGATGTTCCTCCAGAGTTTCAGCCAAGGAAAGATGGATGGATTTGGCTAGGGGTTCTAGAAGCATCAAAACTACTTCTTGTGGAGAAGCCATTGCAATCGGATTGTTTGTGGTTCACTTGTTGAAGAACTGGTAACAAAACATATCTTTTATTGGGTTCTATATCGGTACGCGTACTGGTTCATTGTTTGTTTGTTTTTATTTCTTTTCTAGACTGCCTAGACTGTTTAGTATGGTCTATCGAGATTCTGATGGGATTCAGCTTCGGCCATGGCACAAAAAGCCACGTAGCCAGCGTGGGACAGTTGACCCTCTTGAATAAGGAAGCTGACGACAACGACAATGAAGTCGTCCAGGCAGCCTTGGACATATCGGCACCGCAGCCAGTTGGGGCCCCAACTTCGATGCAAGAGAACGAAAGAGACAGTTGTTGAGACGCACGTGACAAGCAATCCGCACAGTCGCCACAGTTTCAAGGATTCAATGCTCGGACCGCTTTTGAACTTTGAACGTCATGTCTGCCATGTCGCAACTTTGGACCTTCTCCCTGGGCACCGCTGTGGGCGTGGGTGTGGCGACCGCCCTGTTCTGGGCGCGCTCCGGGACGAGCCGCCCCAACGGCTTCGAGAAGCTCCAAGCGCCGGACGCCCCGGCGGAGCCGGTGCCGGACGGGGAGGCGGCCACCGCGGAGGAGGCGAAGCCGGTGGCGCCGGAGGACCGGCCGGCGGATGCGCCAGAAAGCTGCCCCGGCGTGAGCAGTGACGTGGATGGGATGGGGAAGTGGAAGTGATGGAAGTGGTGGAAGGTGCCTCAGTAGATCCAGTTTGTGCAAGATGTGATGTATGGTCCAATGGCACCGGTCATCGGGATCTCTTGAGGTAGAATGAGGTACCGGTGCTTCGTAGGCGATGACACATAGAAATGTCCATCCACTACCAACTGGCGGTTCGTCAGGTTGTGAAGACCGGTTTTCAGGGCGGATGAGAGGAGTGTCAAGCTTCCCGCTTCGGTGCGCAAGCTTTACCCCGCCTTCAGCTGAGGTGAGAACGCAGGGAAGGCTTCCTCCTGCGCCGGTTGCCCCAATCAGTCCGTGTGTGCCTCGGGAGAGGCCAAGAAGAAGGACCCGGCCTTGGCAGATGTGCAGGATCGGCTTAGCCAGGCCAGGTGAAGAGAGAGAGAGACAGACTGCTCTGGTTGGGAGGTTCAGTGCCGAAAGTGATACTCTCCCTGGGACTAACATGGAAGTGAAAAACCACCTGTTTGTAGTGGATTTCATGGTCTTCGTGCCTATGCCATCCACTTAACCATGATGAGTTCCAGGGAGTGTAGATGACTGGTGGGTAGACCACTAGACCACCGGCTTTCGGGGCCGAAGTCTGATTGAGTCGCTTTCCTTTCACGTTCTCGGCTCACCGTTTCACTCGTCCTGCGCACGGACCTCTTGAGGTGAAGAGAAAGATTTTGGTCTTGTCAGGCAAAGGAGGGGTTGCTTGGAAGCACTTTAGACGGCAGTGCCATTTGGACACTTTATTCGTACATATTCATACCTTCCACCTATCAAAACACGGGTCCCCCCCTAAGAAAAAATAACTCTAGTGTGTGTCGTCTTTCTTAGTAGGGGGTGCCCAAAATAGGGGGACCCGCAAAGATGGACACCGTGTCGGGGGTGTCGAGCTTCCAAACTGGAAAGTTGCCTAGGAAAGTTTATATAAACTCCTTTGTGAAACTCGTATCAAAAATGGAATTTACCTCTAGAGACTCTAGATCGAAGGGTTTTTCCAGCCTTCCTCTTCCCGCTATACACACCATTATATAAGTAAAATAATGATTAGTGATATCGTTTTGATTAGTCTAACAACAAAAGATTCGAAAGGTGATGTGGCTGTGCCATGCGGGTTGCGCGGCCTTGGTGGAAATATATACATATACATATACATATATATATACACACTATATTTAACACACGCACACACACAGATATATATATATATAAACAGTATTTAGGGGTCTCCGACATGAGTTTTTAATTTGGTAGTATTTTTACATGGGCACCCGGGATTCCACCGGTTTTTGTAGTGAGCTGCTTGGTGTCGAGGGTCAAATTCTTAATCCCTTTGCTTTGGCCAGGCTACCGCTTCAGTCAGTTCAATCTTCCTCCACCTTCCCTCCAGCTCTAGCTCTAGCTCTAGCTCTAGCTCTAGCACTAGCTCTAGCTCTAGCCCTAGCCCTAGCCCTAGCCCTAGCCCTAGCCCTCCCTCCCTCCCTCCCTCTCTCTCTCTCTCTCTTTTTCTTTCTTTTCCTCTCTCAAGGTTGGAAAGAGCACCATCAGCGCGCAGCTCTCCTTTGGTTTCTCCGCGCGGAGCATGGATGTTGGGCTTCTGGACGTGGACATCTGTGGCCCCTCAGTGCCGCGCATGCTGGGCCTGCTGGGCCAGGATGTGCACCAGAGCAGCGAGGGGTGGTCGCCCATCTATGTGGATGACCACTTGGCGGTGATGTCAATTGGCTTCATGTTGCCCAACCAGGAGAGTGAGTTTCTGCTCTTTGTTTATTGTTATGGTTCATGTTGGAGGGAGGGTCCAGAACCGATCAAAAAGCGACAATGCTGCAATGCGAGGCCCAAGCGTGTTGCGAGTAGCTTGAATTTAATCAAGGGTTCTCTTCTTGCTTAGAGAACGTGGGATTACTAGTGATATTCTCAGAGTGTGAGGGTGTTGCTGGTGCTTCCTTTCCGCCTCCAGCCGTATGTTGTTCAGGATGATGCCATCATTTGGCGCGGCCCCCGGAAGAACGGCCTGATTAAGCAGTTCTTGACGGATGTGACCTGGGGCGAGTTAGACGCTCTCATTATCGATACTCCACCAGGCACCTCTGATGAGCACCTGTCCATCGTGACCTACCTACAGGATGCCAAGATTGATGGCGCCATCATTGTGACCACGCCCCAGGCGCGGTCGGAGAAAAGGAGCGCCTGAAGGTTTTGGGGCATTCGCACCCCAAAAGGCCGCCCTTTGGCACCAAGGAAGAGCGGGCTTTTGGTGGGAGGTGCAAGTTGGATTGCCATCAGTCCCCCCCAAATGATGCAAGTTGCGTGTTTGGCTATGCATGGAACAGAGGTTTGGGACGTGGCATTCTTTGGGGTGTAAGGCACACGCCCCCGTGGCCGTAAAGAAAGGGGGAAGAATCATCCAGACCAATGGGCGCACGCGCACGGTGACGAGGAGGTGAGCTTAATGGATGTGCGAAAGGAGATCAACTTCTGCCGTCGAGTGAGCTTGCCCGTGCTGGGCGTGGTCGAGAACATGAGTGGCTATGCCTGCCCGTCTTGTGGACATACCGAGCGCATTTTCTCGCCCTCCACGGGGGGAGCTTTAGCCATGTGCCAGCAGATGGAGGCATGGTCTGAGAAACAGGTGTACTCTATAGGTGCGACTCCCTCTCGTTTCTGCAGGGATTTTGCTGATTTGATTGGTGCCTTGGTTTCGGTCATGCCCCCAACCCTTTCCATGCGATTCACGTGGGACGCGGTGGCTCACTCACCAGCATGCTCCGCGACTCACCGGACCAGGTGCCGTTCCTGGGCTCAGTGCCGTTGGACGGCCGGGTGGCTGCGGCGGGGGACCAGGGATTGCCGCTCTCCCAACTCCATCCGGATGGGCCGGTGGCCAAGTGCATCGACAAGGTCATCGACGCCATTTTGCAGCAAACGGACAAGAAGCTCGGCACGGCTTGAGCTCGGTTGCACAAAACACCCGTCGTTAGGCACAGACGCGGCTATGTTGGTCAGTAGCCCTACTGCTGAATGCCTTTATGGGCAAATAGGGTGCATTGCTTCCCAAGAGAACTCTAAGGAAGTGACGATTTTGAGACGGAGGAGCAGGAAGTCTCGAACGCATGAAAAAAGGCCCTCTCAGCTGTTTTCAGCTCCCAGGGGCAGCGCGAAGATGCGCGAAGCAGATCATTTTTGGGCAAGAGATGTCAGGGCTTTGTTCCCGACCGTTTCAGGGAAGGAGCCCACTTTTCGGCCTGGTTTGCATTATCCAATTGAACCTTATCCAACTTATCCATTCTCAAACATCATCAACCACCGACCCTCGCTGGGATAAGCCCCTCACAGCCCAGTGGACAGACCACGCCATCACTTGCAGCTTTTCGCCCAGCTCGAAAGTGTGTCCTTTCAGCTGACTCAAAAAGATGTGGGCTGGTGCAGTTCAGCACCGGCACCCAGACCCCGACAGATGTGTGGAAAAGGCTTTCATGATGAACGGTGCCTGTGTGGGGCCACAAGGCCGGGCCGGGTAGCATGGCGCACAGCGCGACCCTCCCTTGACTTGCAGGTTCGACCTTCAAGTCAAGGTCCAACAAGCCCCAAACTTCAATCTCCGTTTGACGTTTATAGACCCCCCAAATAGATAGAAAAGTCGATCCCCACTAAACCTGTATTGAAAACCGTGCCACTACCTTGACAGTACCGTTTGGCGAATCTCTCCATCTTCCTTGAGCTTCAAACGCCAAGCGCCACGCCCCGAGCCCCTTTGGGCTCAGAAGAACAGTGGGGAGGCTGGTCCCTGTGCCCCGCAGGTGGAGTTCTGGAAAGGATGGGAAGGGCGGAGGATGGGAAGGGTATAGTGAGAAATGGGGGGGTTTCGATTGGAAGAGTTTGCCATGCAAACAGTTTGGATGTCTTGTGCGTTCTTTTTTTTGCGGGAATGCGGTGTGCTTCCAATCTGTTCAATTACAAGGGGTTGATATGTTCAGAGCGGCAAATGTGATGCTGGTGGCCACATGCCAAAATTCAAAGCGCCTAAGACACTTCCAAGCATTTCAATTTGCAGGTGTGATGGAATGTGAAGATGACATAGGCCCCAAGTGACTGGACACGCAGTGCGAATCATGCTCCTGCATTTGCAACCGTATTGTTCAGTGCGTCTTCGACCTGTAACGTGAGTCTCTGTTTCAATTGACGCGGAGCTTCATTCCACCGACGCTCTTCCTCGTGCTGCCTCAGGTAGGGACCGGGGATTTTTCTGTGGATCCCCTTGATCGCGCGGACTGGCGACCTCTTACGTGGAGAAGTCGTCCAGGCACTGAGTTGGAAGGCATGTTGCCGACATTTCTTTCGCCATCCTGTTCTGGTGAACGCATGCTGTGAGAAAGAGAGAGAGAGAGAGAGAGCGCAAGAAGCCAGAAACTGACATGGCATGATTCACGGCATGGCCTGGGAGGATCAAACCTTTATTTATACTTTCACCAAAATGAAGAGAAGAATAACAACAGTGGCACAGCATGGCACAGCAGGACATGCACGCTGCTGTACCGAGTGATCACCATCTTACATATGTGCAGCCATAGAGACCTAGACTCACGCGGCACTACTGCCAGCAAGCTTGGAATCGACCGCAAAAATCGCGAGCTTGAACCTGCTGCCGCCATGAACACAAAGCTTCCTTTGCTACTTGGAACGCTTACCGTGTTCCTGTTGATCGCAAAGTGGAAGACTTGCAATGAGAGTGAGGCCACTGAGGAGCTCCCTTCGATTCGAGCAAATCGAACCGGTGTTCCTTTTGCTTTCTTCACATCTATCCCCCCTCCAAAGACGCACCGCCTCCCGGTGAAGAACACATCACATCTCATCTATATATATATATAATATTATATAATCTGTTACCTTTCCGTCTCGTGGAGTGTTTTTTTCGGTATATTAATGTATATATACATGTTGTTTTTGTTGGCGGGTGTGTGGACAGAAGGTCACGAGCTTCTTCTCTGCAAGGAGTTTCTTTTGAGAGGGGTTGCATATTTTTGCTTCAGGAATGGGTGAATGCACCGCGGGATCCTGGTTTCTCCGTTTCTGAACTGTGACAGGACCTTGCTGAGATTGCCAAACCTCCTCCGTCCCGTGTGCTCCTGAACAAGCTGGAGACTGAAGACAGTGAGAAGACCACCTTTCAGGAAGAGGTGAGCCAGGACACGTTCTTGCTCAACTTGAGCTTGGACAATACCACCTGCAAAGACATCCCCAAGTTTGAGAAGAGTGTCACTGAGTATGAGTGTGTTTTTTGGTGGAGTGCCACGGAGATGCCGCGGGTGATCCCTACCCTGAACCCGCTCTGCCGTGACTGTGTGCTGCTCATGCCATCACCGGAGCGCTCGAGCTCCCATTTGTCCTTGAGCTTGCAGACTCAGAAGGAGGATGTTTGGGAGTCCGGGCGGGTTTGGACTCGGAGGTTCTTCTATGGAGAGTCCCACATCCTCCCAATTGTGGTGCTGAGCGGTGACCGGAGCACCAACACTACATACAGGGTGCACCTGGAACGTGATGCACCCTGGTGGATGAAAACATCCACTGAGAGAGAGATCTCCTCCACGACCAAGCAGATCTCTTTTTGGGCCTCCGTGGTCGCGTATGGCATGGCGATGTTCAGTGCCAGCACCTTTCTGGCGCTGACGCGGTTGATTCAGTTCATGGACCTCACGACTGAGATCAAAGGGACGCCTCAGGTGTACCAGGACCCGATTATACATGGCATGGTTGGTTTTAACCGGAGAACCCGTAACCTTTTTTTCCCGAAAGCATTGCGAAGGGTTCTTCCGGAAAATCTCTTGAACACTTGCACTTCTATACTTACACTTGAACACTTACACTTCTATACTTACAATGGCACTGAAGTATCCAAGTGAAAGTTTGCAAGTGAAAGCATCCAAGTGCAAGTATGCAAGTGTAAGTATCCAAGTGTAAGCATGAAAGCATCCAAGTGCAAGTATGCAAGTGTAAGTATCCAAGTGTAAGCGTGCAAGTGTAAGTATGCAAGTGTAAGCATAAGCATGAAAAACTTTCACGGGAGATATCCTAATGAAAAACATTCCCCCACCTTTTAAATTCTCTTTCAAGGCGGAGGGTGGGACGAACAACGTCAACCGAAAGTGCAACCCTCTGCGGAGATCGTGCGTGTCGAGTGTGCGAAATGCAGGCGAGAGTGCGATTTGTCCGGTTCCGGCGCAACCCTTTGCGGAGATCGTGCGTGCCGAGTGCGCGAAATGCAGGCGAGAGTGCGATTTGTCCCATGTGCGGGCAACCCTGCGGAGATCGCGCGTGTCGAGTGCGCGAAATGCAGGCGAGAGTGCGGTTTGTCCGGTTCCGGCGCAACCGTTTGCGGAGATCGTGCGCGTCGCGAAGTGCAGGCGAGAGTGCGACTTGTCCGGTGCGCGCGCAACCCTCTGCGGAGATCGTGCGTGTCGAGGGCGCGAAGTGCAGGCGAGAGTGCATTTTGGAGACTTGCCGCTTCACTTTTGGACGTTTTGGAGACTTGCCGCTTCACTTTTGGAGGAGGTCTTGTACGAAGCGCTCGTTTTGGAGACTTGCCGCTTCACTTTTGGAGGAAGTCTCGCACGAAACGCGCGTTTTGGAGACTTGGCGCTTCACTTTTGGAGGGAGTCTCGTACGAAGCGCTCGTTTTGGTGACTTGGCACTGCACTTGTGGAGCTGGACTCAGACCTGGCCAGTTCGTAGTGCAAATGTAGGGCGGGAAGAAGCTTTTCGGAGCTGGACTCAGAAGTGGCCAGTTTGTAGTACAAATGCAATACGGGAAAGAGCTTTTCGGAGCTGGAGTCAGAAGTGGCCAGTTTGTAGTACAAATGTAGTCCGGGAAAGAACTTTTTGGAGCTGGACTCAGAAGTGGCCAGTTTGTAGTACAAATGTAGTACGGGAAAGAGCCTTTCAGAGATGGACTCAAGAAGTGGCCAGTTTGTACTACAAATGTAGTACGGGAAAGAGCATTTTGGAGCTGGACTCAGAAGTGGCCAGTTTGTAGTACAAAAGTAGTACGGGAAAGAGCCTTTCAGAGCTGGAGTGAGTGTGGCCAAAGTACGTTCGTGATGTCTCTGTGCCATTGGGATTTGCGCGGCCTTGGTGGGAAGTGCGTATGCGTGGCGCCGTGCCACTGGGGAGCGCGAAGCATGCTGGCGTAAACGCGGCGTGTCGCTGGTGAGCGGGATCATTAGCGGTATCGTGTGATATGTTTGCTTCTAGTGTGTGGACAGACCGTGTGGCCAAAGTACGTTCGTGATGTCACAGTGCCATTGGGATTTGCGCGGCCTTGGTGGAAAATGCGTTTGCGTGGCGCCATGCCACTGGGGAGCGCAAAACATGCTGGCGTAAAGGCGGCGTGTCGCTGGTGAGCGGGATGAATAGGGGTATCATGTGATATGTTTGCTTCTAGTGTGTGGCGGGCCGTGTGGCCAAAGTACGTTCGTGACGTCGCAGTGCCATCGGGATTTGCGCGGCCTTGGTGGGAAGTGTGTTTGCGTGGCGCCGTGCCACTGGGGAGCGCGAAACATGCTGGCGTAAACGCGGCGTGCGCTGGTGAGGGGGATCGTTGGCTGTCTCATGTGATATGTGTGCTCCTAGTGTGTGGACAGACCGTGTGGCCAAAGTACGTTCGTGATGTCGCAGTGCCAATGGGATTTGCGCGGCCTTGGTGGGAAGTGCGTTTGCGTGGCGCCGTG